ACTAGCCCACACCCCCCCGTCCTAACAAAAAAAGTGTGGCGCCCCCCCCCTTTACTTCTCTCATGCTAACTGCCCCACCCTGTGTACCTCTAAAATGCCTCCGTTCAGTTACCCCTCCGTTTTTAGTTTTTTTTTCCCCTTTACCTCTTTCCCTTAGTATTATTGATGATTCCATCTGACTATTTATTTTATTCTCTCCCCTTCTTTGTATTCTTCGTCAATCTCTTTCTTTAATTTTCGTGTTTATCCGTCCTTTGAAAATTGTTTTTGTACGCTTCCTCCTCCCCACTCATCGTCTGTGCTGGCACTTTATGAGTGTCTTGCTTAAATTTCATTAATATCAAAATGTCTCCCTTTCCCATAATCTTCAAACGTACTGTTCCTTTTCCTAAACTTTTCCCCTAGTCACTCCACCCTTCTGTGGTCTTCCACCGGCTCACTCGTTACATTGCAATCCACTACGAAATCGCTCGTGTGGCCCCACCCCCCTCCATACATCCCTACCCGTCCCACGTCTCTCCCCCCCCCGGTCTTACCTCCCCTCATTCGAGGTGGTTTCGTCCTTTCTTACCTCATTCACCGGATAGGACCCTTTTACACCTATCTTTTCGATTATTACCGTTGTTTGATATGATAAGTGTTTCCTGTTGTTTTGTTTTCCTAGAAAATTGGGCAATTCAGACAATTTAACCTCCCCCTCTTAGAATGGTTTCTTCTCCAACTGCCACCTCACTTGCCAGCCACTCAATCCCTTGTATCGTCCTGCCCCCCCCCCCCCCGGTGTACCGCAAAAGCGAACCGGCTTCTCTCCCCACTTTTTACCTCCAAATTCCGATTCCGCCCCCCCGACTTCTCGACCGCCACCCCGTAGCGTCCCGCCCGCCACACAGCGCGAGTTCAGTCGAATCCTCTTCCATATGCTAAATCGGAGGCGTGAGGGGTCAATTTATCAGTGTCTGCGTTGCGATTGGCCCTGATAGCTCCATCATCTTAACTCCTCTCCCAAAACTCTCCATAGAGATCCCCGAAACGGTAGGTCCTCCTATTACTGTGCGTTAACCTTTTCCTTGAGTCCCTCAGATTAATCACGTATTCGGAGATCTTTCAAGTATCTGCCTTCGATCGGCACGTTAACGACAAGACAACTTCGACTCAAGACGATTCCCTATCACACCCCCCCCCCCCCCCCCCCCTCCCCCCCCCCGCCATCCAACAAGTGAAAAAGTGTCCACGGTGTCTTTGTGAAATACTCCCTGCCATCGCAAACAAAAGTTCAAGATCAACACTCTTCTAGATGTTATCCCAGTCTTTCTACCATCTGCCCGAACCGTCAGTTCTTCCTTATTCCCATCAATCCCTGCTCGCGTGACATAATCTCTCCCTTAATCGCTATCTCCCCTGGGTGAAATAAAACGCATCACATCACTTCTCTCGGCCATCTTTTCTTATCTCTTCGGTATCCTTCTATACCGCTCATTGTTGGAAAATATCTTCCTCTGGTGACCCCACTACCAGTTGCGCAACTATTCTATATTCCGTGACGGCGGCTAACTGGGACAGTTACCCCCAGTATTTATTACCGACATTTTTTTCCCCGACCTGGCCCCCGATTCCCTTGCTTCAAACGACCTTTTCCGTCCTGCCCCCTAAACCCTTATCCCCTTGTGTACATTTCACGTACTCGTACTAAGCTCAAATTCCCCTACTATATTTAGTTTTCAACTTACTCACATCCATTATAATTTTTTCGCCTCGATCATATCCCCCCCCTAGTCTTTGTTGTATGGCCTCCGCCCTTTCCCGTCTGTTTGTCCGCATCCCACTTGTAAATTCTCGTCAATCCCCTTTCTGCATCCCCAATTCCTGATTGAACTCCAGTATCAGACACACACCTAGACTCCACCTTTCGCTCTGCGCACCCCGTCCTATCCATGTTCTTCTCCTACAGGATCTAAACCCCCACCGTTCCTTTAACTTTTCCCCTCACGCTGCCCGCTTCACCCCACCCCGCCAACTCTTCCCTTTCACCAGCAAGACGCCCTTCTGTTTCCTCCGAAATCCTCATTTTCTTTTTACCCTATGTTTTATCCTTTCATGGCCCTTCTCCCATTTCTTAACTCCAACGCCGCCCCCCGTCACCCCATCCTCTCTCAACTCAGCGTGACCTCCCTTCCTTACATTCTCCACCATTTGGCGACTATACAATTAAGATCCTTGCCGTGAGCCCCTTTCGCATCCTGTTTAGTTCAATCTATTTAGAATATCCGCAACCCACTTAACTCTCACAATGCATTAACCAGAAAGTAGACTTTCACTATGCAGATTTTTCTCCAAACTGGGCTGGCTCATCTCATCGCTAATCCACTCGCACGCCGCGATCAATCCAGCCCACCTTCCCCTTTCTTGTAGTTTACGTTATTACCGAATTAACTTTTTTCAAATCAAAACTCGTCACTTTCTAACAGTATATAACATCCAATATGATTTCCTGATTCACTCTATTTATGAACATTAGTTGTGTCTTCAAACCCCTAATATTAAGAGTCCTACTTTCATTGTCCTTCTGACATTTCGAAGTGCAGCCCGTTTTCGCACTTTGCTTTGGCTTCGTCAGAGCTTCTCAAAAACCATTCCAGCATGGACTGTTGTTTCTTCCGCCCCGGCCCTTTACACCTAACTCCCCCCCCCCCCACTCAGGTTGTCGGGGACATTGCCCTAGTTTTATTATTATATTTGGTTTCTCTCAGGTGCACTCTTCCCCCTTCTATATTTTTTTCCCCCTCAAAGCCCCCAATTCCTTCCTTTTTCACTTTCTTGACATTACTTTGTTGGCTACGTGTCATCTGTCCCTTTGTTTTTAAACTCTAATACCCGTTCCACCCTTCTGTAATCATATTTTCTTTCCTTCTGGTCCTTTATTCTCCCTCTCCCCCGCTACGTCTACCTACCCCAATAACCCCTACTACAACTATTATTTATTATCATCTAGAAACCATGTAATCAGTTACGCTTGTTATTCAATTTTTATTTGTTCGTTTTACGCAATAACTTCCTATTTACTCCTCCTTTCATTTTTTATCCCTTCGTCTTATTCTTCTTCTTGGATCCGTCCCCCAACCTTTCATGGCCCGCACCTATCACTACAACTTCGACCCCTGCGGCCATCCGCCCCCTCCGCGCTGTCGTTTGTTCCTCGACCATGGTTCTCTTGTTCCCATTCTCACCATTCTCACTTTTGACCTCTATAACCCCCTCCCTCGAACACTCTAATAGCTACCTGCGATTCTCTCTCTTTATCGCTTCGAGCCTCTTCTTTGCTAATAGCATAGCCGCGGCGAGGCCACGCGAATGTGCGTTCTCACCATTGCGCCTGCTGTGGCCGAAAGCCGGAGTTCGAGCAAAATGGCGACCCTCCTTTTTCTGTGGCCTGGTGATGACCGCTCCCCCTCCCCCCTCCCTTCCCCTGGATTTCTGTCCCCTCTCTTCATTATTGCTCCTTTTTGGTCCCTACCTAACCACCCACCTCACCTTAGTTTGGGCCCTGGACCCCCTTATTTCCTCCCCCGCCCCCCCCATCTGTTTCTTCTTTTCCTGCCCGTGGCCCCCTCCCCCTCTGAATATTGGTTCTCGGGTATTTTTCCGACCACTGTATATTCCAGCAGATGCCAGGGAATAAAAGGAAGAAAAAACTAGCACGACTGTTTGTTTCTTAAACGTTGGGAACTTGAACAAAACCCTCAAATGCCTAATCATTTCTCCCCCAGGCTGTTAATTCAACCATTATATTAATTATGGCTCTGTCTCCATGCTGCGACTTTTCATTTAAATTCATTTGTCTAATGACGGTTCATACTCTCAGCCCCAATAAGGTTTAATAGCCAATTCGTCCTCCCTTGATGACTCCCTTTCGTTAAATATAAGTTAACGAAATTAATGGATGATGATGTGACACAGCTTAAAGCTGATGTGTTAGATTG